GCCAGTACATTGTATTCGGTGGTCGATTCGAAATTGGCAAAACAGAGATGATGTTTCTTACATATCTGCCAAGCTTCATGCCAGGTGGCCTGCATGGTACAATTTACAAAATGATACAATGTTATAATAATTATCAACATTTAAATACAGTGGTATCATTACCTCCGTTCTGCTTAAATAGAAACACCGATAAGCGTTTGCAATCCCTTGAAAGTGCTCCAAACAATATACCAGTGCCAATAGTTGTAGCTTCATGATGACGGCTTTTCGAAATGATTGACTTATAAATCTTTGATCAAAAAGGAAATTTATTATGTAAACCATAGCCAATACATGCAAATCGTAGTGAAAAATCCATTCGTTAGGCCATTTGAATTCAATCTTTCTGTCACTTGCAAAATTTGTTTTTAAGTATATACAGTGGCATCCGGTTATAACAACTCCGCTTACAGTGTCCAACCGATTATGTTAATTCAATGTCTTGGTTGGTCTTCATACAAACTTAAATGAAAGAGCTTCCGCTTAGTACGTCTCCGCTTTTAACGACAATCCGCTTATCCCGACGATTTATTTATTTATTTATTTTTTCATATTTTTAAGTCATTCACCGGTTATCACTGTTAAAAGAAATAATGCCAAATAATGACAACAGATTTCAGCACAAAAAAAGGCTGTTAGAAATGTATATATGTGTGTATTTACACTAACCAGAGAACACCAAAATTTGTTCTAGATGTTTAGTCTATGTGTTCTCTGGCCAATGATATTTATCCGTGTTATTCAATCAATTTATTTATGCCTGTTCTTCTTTGTTATATAATTATTTTTATGTGAGATTTTATTTAAAAAATTGATCAAAAGCTCTTAATGATTTTTTTCTAGCTTTCATGGTAATCTATTAGTCTGGCAACGCTAAAACATTTGAGATAATCAAGATTTAACAGATTATAGATTCTAGAGCACCGTGGTGAGTCGCATTTTATATTAAAATTCAAATCACTTTGTAAGTTAAACAATATTCATAGGCATCGAACATTCCTAGCACTTGCTACCAGGCTGTATATTTACGTCTGGCAGCACTAATACTAGTCTAACCGCAACATCATATGCAAATCTGGCAGCAATGGTACTCAATGCTAGAGTCCACATGCAGTAAATACGTTCCACACGCAGAACCAGAACTTTTAGCTAAAAACAACAACGCAGCAAACAAGAAAAAGTGTCAGCGACAACAATTCCAATAAGATACTTTCGCTTGGAATTTATTCGTAATTTTGCCGTCGACGCATTCGGAACGTTTAAAACGCGCATCGTACTAAAATTAATCGACTATAAAATCAGCCCAAAGCGAAATTCAAATAACAGTTCAATTTAAAAACTACACAAATTTTTCAACATGTTCAGCTCGTTTACAGGTAAAGAAACGAAACAAGAAATAAAGAATAATGAATTATATGAAAAGGAGAATAATAAAGTCAAAACTCAGGTTAAGCTATTTGTGAAAGTTTTCGAAATAGAAAACAAAGAGACATGTTGAATTAAATATGCAAACTGTGGTTGGTGTTATGTGCTATGAAAGAAAATAACAACAACGGCAACTAAAGAGTTAATGTATTGTGAGACCTTGCTGTTAGGACTCGTAAAGCCTATGACCGCATTGCAGGATTACAATAGAATTACATCATCGTCCCAAGCAATAAAAACGGAGTAGTAGCGCGTAGATAGAATTAATTATTTGCTACGATTACTTATAGAGCTTGACGATGATCACGATGATGATGATAATGACGATACGGCAGCGTCAGTCAATTATGGCGCAGTATTCATCTATATATATATATACTTGTCTATGTATCATAAATTGTTCTCGCTGGCACAACCCACACCCAAAAGGTGCCATTTATATATATTATATGTATGCGTGTGTGCATAGATACATATATTGTCGTGTGTATAGAATCTATAAATGTTTAATATATATTTTAGCATTCTATTGAAATTATAAATATATCTGCGAGCAAATGTTGAGAAAGTTATGATCCCTCTTTGATGTATTTCATTGTGTGTGTACACAAACACATACCCTCACATATACAAGTTGAAAGACGAATTAAAAATAATTTACTCTATTTCCGTTACCTTAAAATTTGTTCAGTCGCAGTTTTCTCGTCTCCCTGCATTTGAGTTCAGTTTGAGAAAGAAGAAAAGAGAATTGAATTTTAAAAATATTTCCTAGTAACTTTTTTAGGCTATGTTGAACTGTACTTTTGATTAATATTCTCTGTTTCCACTTAATGCAAACAGATGCTTCGAAGTGTAAGTAAAATCCATTAAGTTAATATAATATGCCATTTTTGATAATTTATACACTCAGAACAATGAAAAGACGATAATTCAAAATGTAAAGTAAAAAGTTAAATGTTCAGAAATATGAATGTTTTTTTGAAGATTGCTTTGAAACTTCATGTTCAAATTAAAAAATATTTTTTTTTTTTTTTGTTAAATAAATATTTATTTTGTATTGAGAGTGTCCATATTTATTTACGGTGTCGTCTTGTAGCTCTCTAGACAGAATGTTTCCGCAATTCTGAATACCACCATTAGTAATGCCACCACTAGCACCACCACTACTCCAATCCATCGCGATAGCCACACACCACCACCCCCTTAATGCTACCTCTCAATCCGTAGTAAATTAACATAAAATTGATTTATTGGAGGCCAAATAAAATCTCTGGCATTTTATTTGCTGCAAATAAACAAACTCATTGGGACTTGGGGATATTTGAGAAGCTCGTCCAGTGGCGAGTACAGTTAATTAAGCTGTTTAGCTTTGCGGTGCTGCCTGCGGCGCGGAATTTTCGTCCTGTCCTCCTATATCTGGCGTTCCTGTCGTGGTGGCATCCGGCTTACCAGTATCTCCTCCCATAGCTGGCGGTCCTGTCGTGGGAGCATTCGGCTTACCAGTATCTCCACCTATATCTGGCGGTCTTGTCGTGGAAGCATCTGGCTTACCATGGTCCCCTCCTATATCTGTCGGTGTTGGCGTGGGAGCTTCTGTCGGCTTACCATGCTCTCCTACTGTTCCTGTCGGCATGGTACTCGTTTCTGCTGTACCATCTGTTTCTGTTTGTGTTATATCTGATTCTGCCGTCGTGAGTGTACTCTCCGTTCCGTCATTTTCAGTTGTAGTGGTATTCTCTTTCGACTCCGCTTGCGCCGAATTCGAATTATCAAGCGGCCGTGAGTCGCTTTCCAAACTTTCTGTACGTGTCGCATTCCCAGTATTTTCGTTCTTGGTCGGATCGTGGTGGAAATGATGCAAATGCTCATGGCTATGATGCTGACTACCAACTGAATCCTCCGTAGGCTGAGCACACTTCAATTCAGTCGCCTGACATATAAAATACTGTTCCTCTTCGCAATTGTCGTCGGTGACCGTGGTGCCATTATATCTCAGCCTAACCTCCAAACAGTCATCCAAATTGGCCCTATGCGTCGGCTCAATAGCCGCCGCACCACCGAAATACCGTACAGGACGACCAGTGCTAATATATGTAAAACGGCCCTCCGTCTGTAGATCATTGCCGCCGAACCAATAGTCTTCCATGTTGCCGCGCGAGCGTAGAAACTTCATAACGGCATCGAAGTCGTCCTTATTGGCAATATCAGCTAAATTGAGATCCTTGCGTAGGCAATTGTTTTGTGCGCCGAACCAGTTCATCTACAAGGGATTCTGCCATAAAATGTCTGTATAGTCCATGAAGTTGCGACGAATACAAACCTTTTTGCCGGCAAAGTAATAGCATTTGCCATTAATTTGACGCAAATACCGCTTTCCACAAGGACCTAAATCACTCTTGTTGTTCGCCTTCGACTTAGACTTCGGCTTCGGCTTTGAGCCTTTTCCGGAGAGGACATCATCTGGGTACACTACGATTAGGGTCAATATCACAATTTGCAGTAACCTCATGGCTGCAGGCGCCGTTGTCCACAAACTGTGTCAATTTAGCTTGTTCCTTCTATATATAACCACATTGGGGGCGTGACAATTGCATTATCCATGCCAACTATGCTACTGAAATTGCATAATTTGTGCTGCTTCAATTGTGCCCAGCGTTCAATAAATCAATTAATTTAAATTCGTTGCGGTCAAGCCAAACATCTTTATGACTGAATGAGTCAGTAAGCAAAAGTAAGCAACTTGTTTCCCCTCTTTAAGCACCTTAAGAACGGACAGTACACTTTGGTGTTTTATTTTTATGTAACATCACATTTTGATGTGATTGTAGTTTCTGGAGTGATTTCATTGAATTTGAAAAGAGTTTTACTTAACCTAATCATGGTTGTACATTTCGATATTTGCATTTTTTAGTGAAAATGGGAAATCAGGGTTATTGGTTGTGTTAAATGTGTGTATGCAGAGGGAAGCGTACCAGACCCCTTTGTCAACATGATCTTGGTCAAGGTAACGAGCTAGGTTGATTTACCTCTGTCCGTCCATATGTATGGCGGAGCCGGCCTTAGAAAGTACAACAGCTAGAGAATTTAATTCTCAGGGGGTCTCCTAGTTGAGCAGTCTCGAATGGGATTTTCTCACTTGTTAGGAGGTGTGTGTATAAATATATATTTAGTATTGATGAGAGCGATCAGAGCTGTTGTTCTACCATCTGTCTGTCGATATGATCGCACAGATCTCTGTGAAACAGAAAATGCACAAAACGTATTCACATATAATTCATCAAATTGCGTTAGCTTTAGCAACTGTGTGTCCAGCTATAGCAATTGAAAACTTGAATCAATTTAAGTGTGATTTTTCGAAATGTACCCTCAGTTAGCAGCATTAATTATGCCCAGTTGATATTATATTCGATGTAATATCTTTGACCGAGTGCCCTCAATAGCATTTTCTTCTTGTATTTATTTGGTTTATTAATTAGTATGCATACAATTTGTTTCCATTTGTGAAACATCCATTATTCCGTGGCATCCTCCAACAGTTAGGTATCTGGCGCGTTCGTATCCTGTCCGGTGACTGCATCTGGCTTGTTCGAAACCACAGTTGTGACATCAAGTGGCAGGTTAGCATTCGCAGTTGTGATTTCAGGTGGCTTGTTGGGCTCCACAGTTGTGATTCCAGGTGGCTTGTTGGGCTCCACAGTTGTGATTCCAGGTGGCTTGTTGTGCTCCACAGTTGTGACTCCAGATGGCTTGTTCGGATCCACAGTTGTGACTTCAGGTGGCTTTACAGATCCCTCTTGAACTGTAGTCGCTACATTATTATTCTCGGCTATAGTTGTCCCATTACTTGGCTTTTCGTTTGGATCCGGTTGTGGTTCACCCGTCGGACCTCCCACTGGTGGATCAACTCCCTCCTCCGAGCCGTCCGGCTTTTCCGTTACCAACTCTTCAGGTTGCTGTCCATCCACGTCAACCCCTGCCCCAGCCTCGTCGCTGGGCTCGCCAATATCGTGATGGAAGTGATGTAAGTGCTCGTGACTGTGATGGCGCTTCTTAGTGCTTTCGGCGAAGTCGCAGTACCGTTCAGAGCAAATGAAATACTCCCTCTCTAGACAATTGTCGGCGGCCACCACTGTCATGTTGTTGCGTATGCGCACCTCCAGACAATCATCGCACTTCGAATGCTCCGACTCCCCCACGAGGCTGTAATTGCTGAAGTAACGTACTAATCGACCATTGCTGATATATTGAAAACGGCCCTCGGTTTGCAGATCGTTGGCACCAAACCAAAAGTCCTCCGTGTTGCCTTTGGAGCTTAGAAATTCGACAGCACCGTTGAAATCTCGTGGATTGCTCAGGTCGGCCAGTGTGAGGCCCTTGCGTAGGCAATTGTTTAGAGCACCAAACCAGTTCAGCTGCAAACAGACAGACAGAGAAAGGGAGAGAAAGAGAGAGAGAGAGAGAGATAGAGAGATATATAAGAAATAATCGATCACTTAGTTCACCAAAGCAATTACCTTTTTAACTGAAAAGTAATAACACTTTCCGTTGATGCGTCTCAGATAGCGCCGAGGACAGCCGGTGTTTGTTGAGCAGAGTACATCCCTGTGCAGGACACTCAGCACGGCAATGATCACAACTATGATGTGCTTCATCTCGCCTGACCAATGCACCATTGTGTGCTCTGGCGCTGCTCGCTCCTGTACTTATATCCTCTCCTAGCGTGCAATTGCCAATCCGTTTGCCATGCCTCTTAAATATATGGTCGCGCCAATCCCTTATCGATCGTTCCAGCTGCCATGCCAATGATCAGCTAATTCAATTAGTTGAGTTCACTTGGTCGGGCATTCCGGAAGAATGCTACATACACTTCACTCCAGACGGCGTGCTGTCATCGAAGTTGGTTTTGCTGATGAAATCTCCGCTTACTGTGTCTGTGGGTCAACAGGGGTTATGTGTTTAATTGAATTCTTCATTGCCAGAGTGCCATTGATAGTTACTTTCAGCGAATTTCCGCAGAGTAAACATTATTTGTTAATAGATCTTTACAAAGTGCTGAAAATAGACGAATATACAGTTTGTTGTTGTATTTGTTTGCATATAAAAATAAAGAAAATGAAACTAAACAATTACAAAAAA